AGATGAAAGATGATGAAATTAAGCCTCTTGAACCTGAAAACCACTCCCAGCAAGAAGAGATATTTATGATGAGAAGGAGATTCATACAGCACCAGACCCTTTACTTCAAAAACCATTAAATAATTTTCCAACCCAGTCACCCAGCTGAATGACTGACATGACCAGAATCTGTTGGATTCATTTCCCCAAAAGCCCAGCTAGTCATGGAAGTACCCTTATGGATGACCTTGTTCAATGGGTGTATTTGCTTAATAGTCTAGCCCACATGCTTATCTTACTCAGGTCCCAGGAATTCCCTTCCCAGGGTCCTACCTTGCCACCATATCTCAAAGTTCAGTTCTCCTACTTTATTTCTGGAGTGCAGACTTTTGCCATGAGGCCCTGAGAGAAGGCAGAGAGAGAGAAAGCCCTCTTTCCATGGCCTAGGCCACCATCGCATGACAAAAGAGCACTTTCTACCATGGGGATTGACATCAAGAACCTCCATTCCCATACTGCTTGCTCCCTTGCAAATCACTGACACCTAGTGATTGCTGATAATATTTGTCCACTTCAGCATGTTAAGGAATGGTCATATTTACACATAGCTTCATGTAGACCAGTTTGCTCTTATAGATCTGTCTGCTGCACAAAGTGAAGGGTGAAAGATACACTCCTTATCTCCATAAGCTTCCAGAAATCCTCACTATATCAGGTCTGAGTCTTTTGGAACACAATCACTCCACAAAGAACACACAAAATTTTATAAGAACAGACAACAGTTTGAAACACACACACACACACACACACACAAATTCTCCCAAAGAAACCAAGCTAAAATATGCAATATATGTTGCTAAAAACAAAACAAATATGATTAAAACCTCATTCTGGTTATTCCCTAGGCTTTTTTTTCAACAGTGGTTGGGTATATGCTAATTGACTCATTGCTTATATACTCATTCATTCAACAGATGCTCATTAGAGACAGGCACTGTTCTAAGAAGCAGGAACACACCTTGTCCTCACAGGGTTTTAAATTAATAGCCCATTGAGATCCTTTCCCTGAACTAAATGCATGTGTACATATATACATACATTTAAAGAAAATAAAAAAAACAAGTTTGTGTCAAAGGTTTGAATCAAAGTCTTAAATTCTTTTCACATAATTATTTTTCTATTTATTTCCATTTAGACTTGAAAATCACAGGAGGGACTGGGTACTGGATATATATTACCTTATCTTGCACTTGCCAGTTCTTATACCACTGCTCCTCTTCTGTGTCCTCACAAACCACCCATTTAATGTTTTTTTAATGTTTATTTATTTTTGAGAGACAAAGACAGAGCATGACAGGGGAGAGGCAGAGAAAGAGAGAAAGACACAGAATCTGAAGCAGGCTCCAGGCTCTGCGCTGTCAGCACAGAGCCTGATGTAGGGGTTGAACCCATGAACCATGAGATCATGACCTGAGACAGATGCGCAACTGAATGAGCCACCCAGGTGCCCCTATGTTTACCATTTCTAATCTAACATACAGCCTTCACAGAATATGTCTGTATCCGTATATTAAAATGTTCATAAAAGCAGGGTGCCTGGGTGGCTCAGTTGGTTAAGCGTCCGACTTTGGCTCAGGTTTTGTTAGTTTGAGCCCCGTGCCAGCTCTGTGCTGACAGATGGGAGCCTGGAGCCTGCTTCAGATGCTATGTCTCCCTCTCTGTCTGCCCCTCCCCTGCTCACACCCTGTCTCTCTCTCTGTCTCTCAAAAATGAATAGACATTTAAAACATTAAAATGTTCACAAGAGAAATTATCATTGCAAGTATAATGTTTTCTGGCATTCCAGGTCACAGCCTCCCTCTACCAGTGAATGTGCCCAAGAATGGAGGTGCTAACATTCTGTTGAATCTTTATTTAATTTTGATTTAGTGACCATCACTGTGCTGGGATTTCCAAGCTCACTTTCCTCTTTCCTTTCTACAGTAGCCCCAAAAAGTAATTTCTTGACAAATGAAGGACCTGGGGCTCCCTGAGTAGCCCTCCACCTCACTAGTTGATGGCAGAGCCAGAAGTTAGCCTCAGGATTGAATATCGAGAGCTACTGCCCCAGGAGAGAGCCTGTCCTCTATAGAAGGGGAGGAGAAAACACGAGCCTTTGAACTATAGTCATGTCTAGATTTTTAGAAGCCTTTCCAAGATATGTCAGGGTCTCTCCTGGGTTTTCTTTTCAGATAAATGTTCCAGTGTTGACTCCTCTGTGTCTAAGCTGGCTCAGCTCTAAGCATATTTATTTCCATGGGAATGGTAGAACATGGGGTGAGAGAGATTTTTTCTCTGCACAGCTGTCTTTAATCTCAGAAGTTCAAATCTCCAAAGCTGATAGATCATCATTCAAGTTGGTGAGTCCAACAGAAAGACATAAGCTCTCTCATGATCACTGGGATTTGGTACCAGCACAAAAAAACCTTTTAGATTAAAATAAACTAGAACAGAAACTTTCAATAGATTAAAAAAAAGAAACAGCTCACATCCTCTTCTTCCTGCCATGGTTAAGAGAAAAGCTTTGAAGATTCCTTGTCTGAAACAGTCCTCATGGTCCTTTAAGCAAAGTCATCTAGTTGGTACTCAAAACAAACTCTGGAAATATCTTGCATCCTTGGTTGAGTGTTAAAATAGAAATTATTTTGGAAACCACAACCAATTAGAGATTCATAACATTGTCTTGTGTGACTGACAGATGATAATTGGTGACAGAATATACCCCTATTTCTGAAAATAAAAATCCTGTTTTTTTAATGAATGTTTATTCATTTTTGAGAGAGAGAGAGAAGGAGGGAGGGAGAGAATGAGCAGGGTAGAGGCAGAGGAAGAGAGGGACAGAGGATCCAAAACAGGCTCTGTGCTGACAGCAGCAGTCCTAATTTGGGGCTTGAACTCACGAACCTTGAGATCATGACCTGAGCTGAAGTTGGAGGCTTAACCTACTGAGCTGCCCCGGTGCCCAATAAACATATTTTTGAAGATGAAGTACATTGGAATCCCTGGTAGGAACTTAATTTTAGCTACTCCTGTAACAAAACTGCCATGGATTCACACTATAAAGCTTGTAATAATTAGTTAATTAATATATTATTGTTAATAACTTTAAGCAAGTTTAAGAGGCTCTTCAAAGACACAATATTATTATTCATGCTTCATCTCACTACTTTTCTCCACTAAAATTAAATACCAAGATGGCAATGGCAAAATTAAAGTATCCTAATTAGATGCCACAAAACAACTGTGCCACATGGCCAGAACCCAGCTCAATTTTTTATATGTAAATATAACTTAATTTTTGATGTCTGCTTTTAATTGTATATTTTCCCTTACAATATTTTAATTAAGTAATATGATACAAATAAAACATATTTTCTCATCTCTAGACTGATTTGATAAACTAGAAGGGGAGCAGAGGAGCAAATCCCTGGGGCTAAGGTGGGAGGAAGTGTGGCAAAGGCATTAGGGGACAGCTAGGGTAGAATATCACTAGCTGTGTGACTTTAGACCAGTTACTAAATGTCTGTTATTCAGCTTCCTATCTATAAAGTGGAAAGAATAATAGTAGGATCTCTTTCATAGAAGTTTTGTGAGGATTTAAGAAATTATTATGTGTGGGAAGCTTGGGTGGCTCAGTTGGTCAAGCATCAGACTTTGGCTCATGTCACGATCTCATGGTTTTGGGTTTGAGCCCTGTGTTGGGCTTTGTGTTGACAGTTCAGAACCTGGAGCCTGCTTCCAATTCTGTGTCTCCCTCTTTCTGTCCCTCCCCAGCTTGTGCTCTGTCTCTCAAATGGATAAATGTTAAAAAAAAAATTGTTAATAAAAAATTAAAAGGAATTAACATGTGTAAAGTTCTTAGAACAGGAAGCACATAGTAAGCCCAGATTAAATGTTAGTTGCTCTTAAAGGAATTTTCAGCCACTCACTGGACTTTTCCTTTTGACTGCACCTCAAAATCGATACATCTAGAAAGGTAGTGCCCTTCTCTTTGGAGCAGCTCCTCCTTCCAGTTTCCTTGGACATAAAGCCCCCAGACAGCGGTGCCACTATCTAATTACCACAGAAGTGTCACCAACATATTTGATTCCTTCTGCCCCTGCTCTCTCCAGCCATCCACACTGTCACCTTGTCACTTCCCTCTCCATTCCAGCTGTGATATTGTGATACATGGTTTTTGTCCCTGGTTGCCTGGTTCCTGGCACAAAGCTCTTAAAACCCTTAGAATTACCTAAGTAATGGGGCAAGAGAAGTATCTTCTGTTATTCATACTTAGCCTCTTTCAATCATATCCAAATTTATTCGAATGAGCTGATTCTTAGAAGATGAGGGGTGGGGAGTGTTGCCAGATTAGTAATGCTTGTGAAAAGTGGGCTAGGACTTTAGTACCACCACCCCCAACCTCTGGGGAGGGGGAAGGAACCAGGGATTGTATTAATCATCAATGGTCAATGACTTAATCAACCATGTTTATTCAATGCAACCTCCATAAAAACCCACATGAAGGAATTTAGAGAGTCTCCAGGCTGGTGAGTAAACCCATGTGCTAAGAGGGTCATGCATCCCCAGGACAGAAATTCCCACATTTGGGATACTGTCACCACGTGTCCAAATTATCCTACTCAGAAGGCTGCTCACTGGCCTCTGTGCTGTGTGGCACTTCTGGTGCAAGAAGCAGGGCCTCATTCAAAGTTGTCCCAATTGATGAGGGCCTGCATCCAGGGTAGACCGAGGCCAGGACATCATTATTCTCAGCCATAAATATGGTTTGGCCTCCCTCCCACGAAGGAGAAAATACAACACTGGGGACACACTTACACTAAAAAATCACTTGTGGCTTATCTGATACTTAAATTTAACTGGGTGTCCTCTTTTATTTTGTTGTTCTTATTATTTTTATATTTGTTAAATCTCACAGTCCTACCTCACACAGAACCTAGAGGACATCAAGGGTCTTCCATTAACAACGGCAGCCAGCTTATCTCAACAGGAGATCGCAATGTCCAATGCCTCTAGGATTGGGAGGTAATGTGAATTTGTGCAGCAGGACCTCTGTAGGATGATATATGGCAACTGCCCCTGGCCTCAAGTGTTGAGAGATCACCATAGTGAGCAGTGGAAACTGTTATAAACTGGTGTGTACTGCATACACTCTAACTAATGCAAGTAGTTACTACTTACTTTCATCTACTAGTGCCATAGATAAGTATGACTGAAATACTCAAAAAATGTCTAAATGTTGGAAAGTTTTCTATTTGAAAACTTTGGATATTTCAGTTTTAATAACTAATTTAATAATAAAACATTGTTCTGGATATCCTGTGTATATGGGCAGAATTTTAAAAAAGGTGTAATGTCTGCACCAGCTGGCCTACAGGCCACCTCTGCTCTATAGCAGTTCTAGAGGTCAGTCTTCAACCAGGAAGAGGTGTCCATTGCCCCAGCCAAGGTCTGCCATGACAGTGGTTCAGCTGCAATTCTGCTCTTGATCAGTGGACTCCTTTGGTACATCTGATTTGAACTCTCTGAAAGAAAGGACCTGATTCAGTTGGCTAGTCACCTTGCAGCATATAGCACTCTACTTGGTCATTGGTCAGCCTAAAGAGGGGAACTCTCTAGTTTAATCAGCTGTACTCTGGGAGTAGAATTACAAGGTCCAGACCCTTCACATTCCTCTTGTTCTGTGTACACCAGTCACACTGGCCTTCTTTCAGTTCCTCTTTCTGCTGTCTCTTGTCACACCACAGAGCTCCCTTACCTGCCTTCTCTATGGTCATGCCTTCTCTCCCTTCTCCCCAAATTAATACTTTCACACACTTCAGATCTCTTCTTTGGAGAATCCTTCCGTGGCCTCTCTGAATAGGTCAAAGACCACCCTCTACAACCCTATGCCACTCAGCCCCCAGTGAAGTTATTCAAAGCATTTATTTACTGGCAATGTGCAGACATCAGCCAAAAGAACATAGATCCCAGAATGGACTCTGGAATAAGAAATGGGAAGCTTCCTGCTGTGCCAGGAATTGACTGTTGAGTGCTAACTCATGGTGGGGAGCAGTCCTGGAGGTGCTGGAGACAGATCTGAGGGGCCTAGGTCACAAGGGAGGGGACACTCAAGGGGCTCAAGGCAGCAGCTATACTGCTGCTTTAATGCTCTATTGTTGTGTAACAAACCTCCCCCAAACTTAATAACTTACCATAACCACTTATTCTCATTTTGCAATCTGCACTGGTTTCCTCTGGGTAGTTTTTCTGCTCCGTATAGTGTCCACTGGGATAAGAATGCCCAAGAGGAGGTGGCTTCTTTAGTCACATTTGACGTCTTGGCTGGGAAGGCTGAAGAGCTGGGACCTGACTGAACATCATTCTCTACAAGCGGCCTCTCCCCACTGCTAGCTCGGTTTCCTCACAGCACTGTGGTCTCAACATATTGGGCTTTTTCTGTGGCAGATAACTTGGAAAGGGGAGAAGCAGAAACCATGTGTTCTCTTAAGGCCTTGGCCCAAAAAGTCTCATAGAGATCTCTTCACAGCTTCTTGGGCTCAAAGCAAGTTTCAAGGACAGCCCAATTCAAGGAAGGTACACGACTTCATTTTTTGAAGGGCGAAAAATCATCTGTATATGCAGAGGGAAGGACAGGATGGTGACCATTCAAGGAGAATGTCGTGTGGACACATTTAAATATCTTCACACTGACACAGTAGTATATTTGTGTAATGGATGAACATTGGGCAAGTCTGTGCCTCTCATTTAGGTGATTTTACATTTGTTTGTGATTTATTTCATGAGGGTCTCCAAGATGGCAGGAACTGTGACTGTGTCAGGCGCAATGTCTGTCACATTGCAATATTTGCTAAGTATTTGTTGAATGAGTGAATGAGTATCCCCTTTAAAAAACATCAATGACAATCATCACTGAGCTGTTTCAGTAACTGAAACACTTCAATCTTTGCATGGTGAAAATTTGATGAACGTTTTTTAAGGGGGTTGGAAACAGAAAGCTTAGTGTCAGAATTCTCCCTGGCAGAATTAGTTTTGCTTAAAGGCACTAAAATGCATGTTTTGGCACTGATACCAGCTGTCTGTGGGAGGCAGGAGGGAAAAAAACTGAAAGGAGAAAAAAAGATTTAATACAATAGGTTTCTCCCTCCCCTGCTTAATGGATGTTCTTTGCACCCTGCACAGATACCCTACCACTGATAAGACCATCAATAAGGGGAGCCACCCACCATGAGAACTTGATGAGCCACCTCCCAGGAAGGCTCTCCCTAGGCAAGAACGAATGCCTTTTTCCAGTTTGGAATGCTTAGCATGAGGTAAAGGTTTTATTTGGCGGCAGCCTGGAGTAAAAGGAGAGTCAGAAAAACTGGGTTCCCTTCCAGCTTTGCCACACTCTAAAGAATAAGCCAACACCAGCAGAAGGCTCAGCTACTCAACTCCCCTTGACCAGCTTTATTAAGTCATGCTGTGCCCCTACCAGGATGTAACAGTCCCACCCTTCCAAACTCCTTATCCCCATCAGTGATGTCCATCTGCCTGCTGGTCCAGCCTTGATCATCTGGGATGCATAAGTAATTCATCCCGTGCTCATCTGCTACATCTGCTCACTCACCAAACATTATAGCATTTCCTCCAGGGTCTCATGTCTCCTGTCTCCATTTTCCCAAGTTCAGGTCTTTCTAGAAACCAGCTTTGGCTTGGTTCCTCCAATCCCCGGTTGCGACTCTCCTCAATTCACTGCTCCTAATGATGTCTGACTCTCCTTATGTTATACCAGCAGACTCTGGTGGTTTTCTACGTGGAAGGCAGATGTAGACTTACCCTTTACCATGAAGCCATTGAAGGTTAAGCTCCCAGGCCACTCACTTGGCTGGGCTCCTTTCCAAAGCCAAGAAAAAGGAAGATCTCACCTTCAAGGTTAACTGTGTGGGTAAGAATTTTCACCACTATTAAGTATAACCACCTTCATTTTCTACCCCTGTTTTCTTCACTCACATTTCCCCTCATGATAAATGGTAGCAGAGTGTCAGTAGGTGGTTTATTGTGTACTGATGAGGAAGTTAGGTTGAGAATACACTTAGATTGTGTTTACCAGAATAGGTTTATATGGCTCACTTCAAGGTAAATTGGCACTGGTTAAAAGAAAATAGTGAGGTTTAGGAACTATTTGGATTACACCCAGCATATATTTTTTAAAGCAGCAATGTATTAAGAAGAAAAGATAAATTGAGGATAAAAGTAATGAAGAGCCTCTGGGGATTATTTGATAACATGATTAATAGTTCAAATTATGTGGATGCATTGGAAACAATTTTATTATCTTAATAATTTGGCACCAAAGACTAACAACAAATTCAGCGCAAAACTTATAAGACACATTACAATGAGGACATTGAAAATGAACTCTTTTATGAGTATCATGAATGGAAAGTGTGCTTGAGATTAGCCAACACACAAGACAACTTGAAATACCCGGAGATCTTGGGGCGCCTGGGTGGCTTAGTCGGTTAAGCGTCCGACTTTCTCTTAGGTCATGATCTTGCGGCTCGTGGGTTCGAGCCCCGCGTCGAGCCCCGCGTCGAGCCCCGCGTCGGGCCCTGTGCTGACTGCCAGCTCAGAGCCTGGAGCCTATTTCAGTCTGTGACTCCCTCTCTCTCTGACTCTCCCTTGCTCACGCTGTCTCTCTCTCCTAGAAATAAATAAAACATTAAAAAAAATTAAAAAAAAAAAAGAAATACCTGGAGATCTTACGATTCATTTATAAAAGAAACTGGATGGTGGTTTCTTCAAGTTTGGTAGCAACCCTAAATCTTTACATGACATTGCCAATAAGCAAGTTGTCAAACTGAAAGAAACTTTTATAAACTATCAATTAAAAATCTTTTTGATCCACCATGTTGAGAAAAGTCTGAATGGTCCTTCTATCATTGCTAAAGAAATGATACACAATTCACTGTCAGGTGAAGAGGTTTTCCAAGAAAATGTTTCAGAGGGATGTGCCAGGCAATTACTGGAAATGTTACCATTTGTTTAGTTAGGTTTTTTTTTTCCACAGAGAGAGTGTGAGTGGGGGAGAGGGGCAGAAGGGGGTTGGGAGAGAATCCCAAGCAGGCTCCACACTCACCATGGGGCCCCCTACAGGGCCTGACCCCACAACCCTGAGATCATGACCTAAGCCAAAATCAAGAGTCAGATGCTCAACCAACTGAACCACCCAGGCACCCCAAGACTGTTATGATGTTTATTTTTCATTCTTAATTTTGTTTTCATAATTTTGCATGCCTTTTCTTAAACAGAGATTTCAAAGTGTATAATCATCAAGCCACAGAACATCTGATCTACCGTGCCAATAGCCAATACTCCTTCCTCTCTCCAAAGAGAGCACAAATTTTGTTCAGGGACCCACCTTCTTCTGCATAACCCTGGATCTCAAGGGAGATGTTTCCAGCCCCAGTCTCATGAAGTTGCATCTCTTCCGCCAGCAATTGCCTTAGTCATACACATGTGATGCAATTCTAGCCAATGGATAAGAAGAAAACTGCAATGGGAATTTGAGGAAAGATTTATTCCTTTGATTAAGGGCAGCAAAAAGTCATTCAGATGGGATGCTCTATCTTTGTCATCTGGACATAGTTAAGTTTGGATGTGATATCTGGAGCTTTAGCAGCCATCTTATGACCATGAGAAGAGCCAGCCTCAGAACAAGCCATCAGAGAATAGCAGAAGGAAAATACCCAATCCAGGCCCTGCCTTCAACTTCTAAGTGAAATCATATTGCAGTTTCCTCTTTATTAAAGCGAATGGAATCAAGTTCTATCACTTGCATGTAAAGCCATCTGATACACTTACTCTCATAACTTTCTATTACCTCTGGCAAATCTCTTTTAAAGTGATTTTTTTTTTTCGGAGACCCCTGGGTGGCTCAGTCTGTTAAACATCCAACTGTTGCTTTTGGCTCAGATCATGATCTCACACTCCATGAGACTGACCCCCATGTCAGGCCCAGGAGCAGCCAGATCCCATGGTGTCACTGGTCTTCCAATAATGGCATCTTTAGTCAGATAACATCCTACCTTTCTTCACTTTCGCTCTATGGTAAGATGCTTCTTAAGAAAGTTCATACCTACTTGAAAACTTAAAACCAAGTATATTCAAAAGGTTCTTCTGAACAGAAGACATCCATGAGAATTATGTACAATCAGTGCATATTTCTTGAGGATCTTTGGGGGTTAAGGCCACTGAGGACACCTATAGATGAAGTGGTGGAGGAAGCCTATACCCACATCCCAGCCTGTAAGAGATGCACACAGGACTGAGTTCCCACCTGTACAAAAAACAAACAACAAACAACAAACAAAACAAACAAACAAAGAACAAGTTGCAGGTTCTGGATCTGAACTCTGGTCCTTCCAGGCACTGATGGGTACAACAAAGAACAACAAATTAGTTACTGGATTGTTTATTTTGTAAAGATAGTCTGTCACAAGCCTAACTCCAGCCCCACTGGCCATATTTTTTATTCACCAAACCAATAGTGCCTTTGAAAACTCTAGAGCTGTGTTATTCAATCTGGCACCCACCAGCCACATGAAGGGCTTTAAATTTTAAAGTTTGTTTAATTATAATTAAATACAATTTAAAACTCAGTTCCTTCGTTGCACTAGCCACATTTTAAGGGCTTAACAGCCACATGAACTAGTGGACCATAATTCTACAACACAAATATAGAATATTCCCATCATTAGAAAGTTCTATTGAACAGTCCTATTTTAGAGAACCTAGAGTAGGGCACCATCTAGGATGTGGTCTTTTTTTAATGTTTATTTATTTTGAGAGAGAGAGTACAAATGAAGAAAGAGGGGGGAGGAAAGAGAGAGGGAGAGAGAGAATCCCAAACAGGCTCCATACCCAGAGCAGAGCCCCATGTGGGACTCAATCTCAGAACCACATGATCATGATCTGAGCCAATATCAGAAGTCAGATGCTTAACCAACTGAGCCACCCAGGTGAACCTAGAATGTGCCCTTACCAAAAGTCTCTACAATTTATAGGAAATGCAAAAAAGGGAAGAATATACTCATCTGCTCACAGAAACACAATCAGAAAAATGCAGAGTGTGGAAAATTTGATGGGATAAATGATACAGTTCCCTAAAAGGAAGATTTCAAGAAGAAACGAAAACAGGAAACCTATAAATACTGGTCAGATACATCAAACAATGAAAATGTGTGAGCCTTATTGGAATAAATTCAAATATAAACTATAAAAGTATGTATATTAAGGATGAGATAATAACATATATAATAATTCATAATAGGATATATAACAATTGACAATATTAAGGAGTGACTTTTTAAATAAATTCAGGTATAATAATGGTATTTTGGGTATGGCAGAGTAAAAAGATCTTATCTTTTAGGAATGAGTACTGAAATATTTACAGAAGAAATGATATAATGTCTGCACTTTGCCTTGAAATAATTTAGGATGGGGGGATGGATGGGCACATAGATGGAATAAGATTGGCCAGGGGGTAATGGTGGTTGGCTCTGGGTGACAGATCCATGGGCATTAATTTTATTATTCTGACTACTTTTACATTTGTTAAAATTTTTCCATAGTGACAAGTTAAAAAAAATTGTAGTAAGGCAGGACCACAAGAAGAGAGTTATAGGAAATAAAGATGGTCTCTTAATTCTCTTTCTAGGTACTTAGTAGGCATTGCCCTTGCCCTTGACCTTTTCAGTCAGTCATTGTAGAAGACCTGCTTCACACATAGCTCCAAGGAAGGCATCTGGAAGCCAGAACACAACAGGGGATGGGAAATGAAGTCTGCTAATGTGGACAAAACCCAGACCATTCCAACTTGTGGCTACAAATGCCTCAAATCCAATAGCTATGGCAAGTAGAGAAGGCAGATGTGAGTTTGGATAAACTCCGTGGATGCCTGTCCATGGAACCTACTAAATGGAAAAAGAACTTTACATGCCTCACCAAAAACATTATGTGGGGAACAAATAAACTGGTGTGATGAACAGAATGTTTGTGAACTCCCTAAATTCATATGTTGAAGCTGTACACCCCCAGCATGTTAGGGCCTTTGGAGAGGGCCTTTGGGACCTACCTGGATTTGTCTAAGCCACATAGCCAATAGCTGGTCAGGGAAGAGGCTATTTCACCATGGTCAGCCTTAATGTTCCTATGGCATTTGACTCTATAGATAATCTGTGAAGCTCCGAGGGAAGAAAGAATGTGACAAGAGTAGGGAGCTAATTTTGTTAAAAGATTGCTGCCTTATAAATGTGGCTGGATATTTTATAAGATATAACATTATATGTATTTCCTCTTGTATTTTCCTTTTTCTTATACTCATTGCCTCAGGGGAGGGGAGATAGAGGCAACATAAAATTCCTTCTGACCATGATCTTGCAGAAATTTAAGCCACAAGAAGACCTTAGGAGTGCAAGACAGTAGATAAGGAGTGCATGGGTGGTTCAGTAGGTTAAGCATTTGACTCTTGATTTTGGCTCGGGTCATGATCTCACGGTTTGGTTCATGGGATTGAGCCACGCATTGGGCTCTGTGCTGACAGTGTGGAGCCTGCTTTGTGGTTCTCTCTCTCCCCCTCTTTCTGCCCCTCCCTGGCCCATTCTCTCTCTTTCTCTTTCTCTCTCTCAAAATAAATAAATAAACATTAAAAAAAAAAAAAACTAATAGATGGGATCTCAGCCAGAAGCAGGGGCTGCAGCTGAGTTTCTTCTCCAGGAACCCAATGAGAGAAGTTCCTGAGCTTTGGGAATGGGAGTATAGAGAAAGACATCCGGGTCCTCTCCTGGCAATGACACAAGGAAGGTGACAGAACCCAGAGAAGAATGGCTCCATGTCCACCAAGGTAGAGCAAGACCACAGGAGACTCCCAAGGGTCCCTTACCTGAGTGGGACATGGAAGTATTAAAGACCCCCAGTGGGGCTGTTTAGACCTGTCTCTCAGCTCTTAGTGGTAACCTTATTGTGTATACACCTCCTCTGTCTTTGGTACTGCATGGGTCCCCTGGGAGGGATCTGAAAGAAGAAGACTAAGGACTAAGGTTGGACAGTCTGTCTGTCCAGGTGAAGGGAATCTCAGACTTAAAACCTACAGGAAACAATAAATTATAGCAGCTTGAGTTGGAGCCTGATTCAGGATGTACAACAGGTACCTTGTCTCATGCACTTTAGTCCCCCAACAACCTCACTTACAAGGTCAGAGTCTTTGTGTCACATGTGATTTATCCTTTCAACCACTCATTATACTCATAGGCACTGACCTCCTCGGCATCCCAGACACTCTTCTGGGTGCTGGTGAGATAGAGGCATGAAACTAATAAAGCATCTGCCCTCACAGAGGGTGCAGCCCAGTGGGGATGACCACACAGAGAGAACCAAACAAATAAAGCAACAAAATTGGTAAAAACTCTGATAAGCATTGCTCAGGTAATAAACTGGGTGATGTGATAAAGAATTCCTGGCCCGTGGGCAGTATGAAGAGGTCTGAGAAAGACTCTCCAAGACAGTATTACGTTCTAAGAACTACAGTAGGGAAACCACGTAGTCCTGCCAAAGGTTGGGACACACAAGAGAAGGGAGAGGAACTGCAAAGGCTTGAGGACATGTTTGAAGAAGGAGGAAAGGGAGGGCAGTGTGGTTGGCCTGAACAGAGGAGAAAGAGTGAGGAAGGGAGGCAGGAGGGCAGGTCTGATCACTCAGAATCTGGCAGAGCCGATAGGGAAGTAGATGTGATTTTTTTAAAATTTATTTCTGAGAGAGAGAGAGAGACAGCATGAGTAGGAGAGGGTCAGAGAGAGGCAGACACAGAATCTGAAGCAGGCTCCAGGCTCTGAGCTGTCAGCACAGAGCCCTATGCGGGGCTCGAACTCATGAACTGTGAGATCATGACCTGAGCTGAAGTCAGACGCTTAATTGACTGAGCCACCCAGGTGCCCCGAACATGATTTTTAAAATAGGAAGCCCCAGATTCATTTTAAGTAGGGGATTCATCCTTCTAGTATATGGATTAAATGAAGCAATACACATAATGCACTTAGAACAGTGGCCAGCATAAAGAACACTATAAGTGTTTTTATCCTGATTCTGATGATTAACAATGGGTTGGAGAACAACCAAGAATTGAAGCAAGGAAACAGGTTGGGAAGAGACATTAGCTTGTGAGTCCTGGCTTTCTGCTCTACTAAATAGGGAGGGAAATCTAATACACACAATTTTGGTCTATTATAAAGGATTGTGTTGAAAAAGAGAAGCAAGGGAGATCAAGATCATGTACCTTATAAGTCTTCCAGGTTCACTTAACCCTGGCCACAAATTAAAAATTAAACTGGACCAGGGGCTGGGGATGCTGAGAGAAATGGGGACTTATTGCTTCGTGGGGACAGAGTCTCAACACAGAGCTGATAAAAAGTTCTGGAGATGGCTGGTGGTGATGGCTGTACAACAGTGAGAACACACTAATGTCACCGATGTTATATATTTTTAAATGGTTAC